CAAAGGAGTGTTACTGTAAATGCAATGGACAAACTTAGTTAAGGTTAAAGATTGAACTTTGTCAGGGAAGATGCCAGCCTAGGATATGACTATCCACCATAAACTGCTTTTTAGTTTTAAAAGTTTTAATTTCAGACCATACTTTGTCATTACTTTAGGTCGCTGAGTTGCAAGGCTGGCATGCAGGCCTCTCTTGAGCTTGTCAGGTTAGCATGCGGTCCCTTTTTTCCCCATAGATGCAAATTAAAATTACGATGAGGTAATCACCTCACACCTCCAAAATGGCTACAGTCAACAAACAAGTTCTGGCAAGGTTGTGAAGAAAATGGAACCCTAGTGCACTGCTGTCGGGAATGCATACGGGTGCAGCCGCTATGGAAAGCAGTATGGAGTTTCTTCAGAAAATTAAAAATGAAACTGCCTTTTGAACCAGTAATCCCACTTCTGGGAATATATCCTAAGAATCCCAAAACAGCAGTCAGAAAGAATATGTGCACTTCTATGTTCAGAGCAGCATTATTTACAATGGCCATGATCTGGAAGCAGCCCAAGTGCCTATCAGTAGATGACTGGACAAAAAAGCTATGGTGGACAAAATAACATTTATACCATGGAATACTATGCAACCCTTTAAAAGAAGGAAATCTTACCTTTTGTAACAGAATGGCTGTACCTGGAGATGATTATGCTAAGTGAAGCCAGTCAGAGAAAGACAAAAATACCATATACTCTCACTTATATGTAATCTCATGAATGAAATTAACTGACAAAATAGAACTAGAGATGTGTATATGGAACAGACTGACATATCTCAGAGGGAAGGGATTTGGGGGGAAGAATTGGATAAGGAAGGTGAAGAGATTAGTCAAAGAAAATATATACAGAACCTGTGGACACAGCAGGGTAGTGAAGATTGAGGGGGACAGGCTAGCTGGAGTTCAGAAAAGGGAGGAAATGGGGGATACACATGTAATAGTGTCAGCAATATAAAAAAGGCTTAATATTGAATTGGCCAATTGGCGGGAGGCTAATGTTCTGAAAGACATGACTTGCTGGTTTGTATGTTACAGAATATATAGGACAGAATCACAAGACAGGTGGGTTAGTTTGCTATGGCATCGGTCAGTCTGGTTTCATGGGAAAGTAGCCAGGGATTCATTCCACCTTAGGGCTCAGGATCTGAAACAATTTAGTTCAAGATACTATCTTTAGATTGCCAGAGGTTCAGATCTTGTGACCATTAGTCAGGCTACTATCTTCTGCTGCCTTGGGGGGAAAGGGGTTGCTGACTATCCAGGGCAGACCCTAGGGTATAAGGGGTGTAGATTTATTGGTGGTAGATTAAGGAGGCAAAGTAGGGAGATCTTCAGGAATAGATGAAAAACAGAATGGAGAGGCACATACTAGTTTTACATTGGTGGTTACAGGATAGTTAACATTACAGTACATAGAATGAGGAAACAAAGTAACAGTGTGAAGTTTAGTCTAGTGTTCTGGGTGTGCCCTGAGAGGTCTGGAAAAGGGGGATTACTTTGTTATTCTAGATGGAAAACAAAACCAAGAAACAGGCTCACTTAAGGTAAAGATTGACCTTTATCAAGGAAGCTACAGGCTTAGGATGTGGGAAATTTTATGATCAGATACTGCTACATGGTTACTTTTAGTCTCTGAGTTTGTAGGGCCTACCATACAGACATTTTCTGAGCTTGTCACATTATTAGTATGTGGCCTGTTTTTTTATCTTCCACAACTAATTAGAGATTTATTTGCCCTGCCCATATTAACTTTAAAATGTCAAATTCATTGTTTTATTAATGGAAAGTTAAAAAAATACTGTTGCCTAATAGTTTTAACGTTTTGTATCATGTATTATACCATTTGCCAGAGAAAAATCATATGATTTGAATAAAAGAGGATCTTGAAATTTTCTATGTCCAAATTATATTAATTTCTGGGATTTAAGAATAGATTCATACTTTATTTTCAGTGATTGTAGTTTGGTACTTACACTTTTTTAGATAGTTTAGAAACTGAAAACAGTCCTTTTTTATATCTTACTGTAAAAATAATCAGGTCAGTTCAGTATAGCTTTATTTATAGGTATTTAACTTATATTTAAGTACTGCTTTTTGGGTATATAATTTTTTTGGCTGTACACTTGAAATGTACTCTTTCTTAAAGGAAACTATATGCTTCAAGAAAGGAAGAGCCCTGGCCATTTCGGTTCAGCAGTTAGAGTTTTGGTCCTCGGACTAAAGGGTCCTGGGTTTGGTTCCAGCCAAGGGCATGTAGCTCCGTTACAGACTTGATCCTGGGCGTGGGGGCTAGGGCAAGTGCATGAGGCAAACAGTCGATGTGTCTATCTTTCCGTCTCTCCCCCCCCCTCCCCTTCCACTCTCTCTGAAAAGCAATTGGGGGAGAGAAAATCAAGTATTTTGATGTGGATATTCTGTTCTACAACACACTTTGTCATCCTAACAGAATTTCCTAAGGAGGTGAGATGATTTTTATGATACTGAGGAATTACTCTGCTTTCTCTGTGTGTGTGTGTGAGAGAGAGAATATTTGATGTTAGGTGCTTTTTCAGAGGTACTATACCTGGGAATGTTCCTGGGCATGTACCCAGAGATCAAAGAATACATATATTTCCTAGTACTCTCTTTAAATATGCCATTTATAGCAGTGGCCAGGTAGCTCAGTTGGTTAGAGTGTCATCCTGATAATACACCAGGGTTTCGGTTTTGATCCCAGGTTAAGCACATAGAAAAGTCAACCAATGACTGCATGAATAAGTGGAACAACATATCTCTCTCTTCATCCCTCCCATGCTCCCTTTCCCACCTCCAAAATCAATAAATGAACAAAAAAAAAGTAAAAAAATAAATAGACCAGTTGTTATGTTAAGACAGAGAGCACGGAGATGAAAGTGGTTAAATTTCTAAGGCCCTCTGTGGTTAGTACCAAGTGTGTTTGTGGAGAAACTACAGAGCATTGTTCTTTCTGATTTATTAGTACAAAACATTCCTGTCAGAAGGATGTCTACATTTATGTGTATTGTGGTGAGATAATATTAGAGCTAGTATGTCCGAAATGTATGAAGATGATTAGGAAGAAAACAATTGAAAGTATATGGCAGTCCAAAAGTTAGCACACTTTGCAAAAACAATAGCTTACCAGTACAAATATTACCTACCATTGAGCAATGGTGCTGTAAAGGACATTTTTCATGTTATATGTAATTTAAAATTTTATAGCTGTATTTAAAAAAGTGAAAATGAAAGCTGTGGCACATTTACACAGTGGAATACTACACTGAGTGAAAAAGAAGGATCTCTTACCCTTTGAGACAGCATGGATGGAACCGGAGAGTATTGCTAAGTGAAATAAGCCAGTCAGAGAAAGTCAAATATCCTATGATCTCATTTATATGTGGAATCTAATGAACAGAATAAACGGAAAAACAAAATAGAAACAGAGGCATGGATACATGGAACAGAATGACAGCTGTTACAGTGGAGTAGCAAGGGGGGCGGCTGGATAAAAGAAGGTGAAATTAACAAAAGAACATACATACATAACCCGTAGACACAGACAACAGTGTGCTGATGTCCATAGGGAAGGGGATATATATGCTAGGTGGAGGTGGACAAAGAGGGGATGGGATTGGGGACATCTGTAATAGTGTGGGATGCTTTGGAATGTCAGAGTTTAGAGTAATGAAAGGTTTATTGCTTGAGAAGATACCAACCCAGAAGATGGGAGATGTAATAGTGTCTCAAGTTAATTTTAAGGGAATAGTGGGAAGAGGTATGGGAAAGTACTGGTGGGGCAAGTTTTACTTGCAGGTCCTTGGAGCTTGACCATTTATGGTAACAGGGCATCAACACCAGAAGACAAGGACCCTTTACTTACTGTTTTTTTTAATATGTCTTTATTGATTTCAGAGACAGGAAGGGAGGGGGGTGAGAGAGAGAAACATCAGTGCTAAGAGAGAATCATTGATCGGCTGCCTCCTGCACGCCTGCTGCTGAGGGATCAAGCCTGCAACCCGGGCTTGTGCCCTGATCAGGAATTGAACCTTGATCTCCTGGATCATAAGTTGATCACAGGCCACTGCTCAACCGCTGAGCCATGCCGCCAGTCAAAGACCCTTTACTTCTGAAAGGATTCCAGATATGCCCTAGTTTTTTGTTTCCATGTGTTTTGGAGTGGCGTATAACAGGGTTGTAAGAAGGTCAACATTCTCTCTTCTGATCATGATTTATGCTCCGGCTGCATGACATACAGCTTTGGTCTGTTTCTGAAAAGCAACTTGGGCTCTGGTTATATAGGACCATTTTGATCTGGTTCTTTGGGTTTACAACATGTGGTTACTGGCTGCTGAAATTCAATAAAACTTATTCTGCCTGTGCCTATTTATTTTTTAAAAAATTAATTTTAGAGAGAGGAAGGCAGGGAGAAATGAAAGAAAGAAACATCAGTGTGAGAGAGAAACATTGATGGACTGCCTCTCGCACATCCTCTAACCTGGGTTCAAACATGAAACCCTGGTATGTACCCTGACCTGGAATTGAACCTGCCACCCCTCTAACCTGGGTTCAAACATGAAACCCTGGTATGTACCCTGACCTGGAATTGAACCTGCCACCTTTGGGTACACAGGAAGACTCTCCAACCAACAGAGCCAAACTGGCACAAAGTCATAATTGAGATTTATAATTTGTATAAAGTCATTAAGAAATCCTTTATTATTTTATTTAGTAAGTCTTATTCCCCCTTTTTATGTGGGAAAGCACTTAGGTTATAATGTGGTGGCTCTCTTAACAGATAAATACTTAGAAAGCTGTTCTCAGAAATTGAGTCCTGAGTCAGTGAAAAAGGTAAAATATAGATTATTTTGATTTCTTGAGTATTCTTATGTAGTATATATTTCATTCTCTCAGAAAGGATGCAATTAGTATTTTGCTTTTTTCTAAATGCATATATTTTTTCATTTCTAGGCTGTTCGCTGCTACGAATCTTTAATCTTAAAAGCTGAAGGAAAAGTGGAGTCTGATTTCTTTTGTCAATTAGGTCATTTTAACCTCTTATTGGAAGATTATCCAAAAGGTAATGTGTTTTCTCTTTTAAAATTTGTGGTTGATTTGTTTACATAATATATAAATGGCAACATTTTTACTCTTTACCAAGGGCATTTATTACTGTTTTTTAGTTTCTTCTACTAAGTTCATAAATACAAATGGCAGTGTGAAAGAGTAGATAGATATAAAACAGAAAGCAACAAATGAATAAATAAACAGAAACTCAGAGACACTGACAACATTATGGTGATTATCAGAGGGAAAGGGGGTGGAGGGCAGTAAAGGGTAAAGTGGGGATAAATGGTGACAGAAGATATGACTTTGTATACTTTTATTAACTATTACCACCCCTGTAAAAATACAGTAGATGGAAATGTGAAATTTTTATTTAACTCCATGTAAATATTTATGGATCACTTTGTAAAACTCATAACATGTACATTGCTATTTTGCTTGACCTTGTGAAAATCTCTGTTCTTTAAAACCTTGTCATAGTAGAAAGAAATCTAGTTTCATATTGTTGTCTATAAATACAACTGTGGACATTTTGGAAATAGTAAACTATAGTGTTTTTCAACACCACCAAGCAGGTCTTCAGTTTTCAATTCTCTGTGGTGTCCTACTAATTTAACTCAATTCTTACACTATATACTTGTTGATCCCACAGGTAAAGGACTCAGTTCCTTTCACATGACTGCCCCACTTCAGATGCCAATTCCAAGTTAAGGTGGTCACCTGTGCTAGTGATAGAGCAGCTTTAAATCAGAGGTTCCCACAACGCCTTCTTTGGGTTTAATAATTTATTAGGAGAGCTCACGACGCCCAGGGGATGATTTGCCAGTTTATTATAAAGGATATGTAAAGGATACAGAAGAACAGCCAAATGAACATAGTGAGGTCTAGAAGTGTACAGAGCTTAGGAGCTTCTTTTCCTAAGGAACTAGGGTATATTTGCCAACTTGGAAACTCATAAACTCATCGAATTTCAGTATTCAAGAGTTTATTTTGCGTCCTTTTGCCTAAACCCTCAGCTCATGTTGAGGCTACATGAGGGCCATGTGGTAAATCACCTCATGAGCAGAAATTCTGGTGAGCTCAAAAGAGGCTCTTAGGAATAATAAAAGGATGCCTGTCATTCAGAAAATTCTGGTTTTTAGAAGCTCTGTACTGGAGCCAGGATATAAACCAAAAAATTTTTTATTACTATGGACACAGACAGCATTTCAAATTCTTTTGTTCTTGATTTTCTTTCAAAATTTTTCATTTTAGTTGTAAATTCAGTCTTTATTCATGTTACTGTATAGTAATATACATAATCTTCTCTACATTTGAACCTTGAGTAAGACATTTTTTATTCACTTAGAATATTTTTTCTTCTCAGAAATAGGTGGGGACAAATAATTTGAGATAATCTTTCAAGATGTGTGCTTTCATAGTTTGCCCAAGACCGGTACTCATTTAGTAAGTTAAAGTGACTGGGAAAAATGCTTTTACTCCCTTTAAAAGTACACACCCCATATCAAAGAAAAAGTATAGGTAAGAATATGCATAGGTATGTTATTTTTAGTAATTGTGTCTAGCAGATACAATTGGCTACTTGTTTTAGGATTAGAGTGTAAGGTTGGTGGTATGTTACTGTGGTGCTTTAACAGCATAGTTTATTGTTTTTCACTCTTTTTGGTCAAATTATGGGAGTGAAATTTTTCCATTTCTTCTTTGGAGTAATTGGCTAAGACCTCTTGTAAAACAAGATAGATTAATGTTACTGAACTTGAGTATTTGAGTTTGACTACACTCCTGGCTGAAATAAATGCACAAGCAGAAGTTTGGAATGCAGAAAGGAAGTAGTTTGTATACTTGGCCAATTTGGAGTGTGCTTTAGGTTATGCTCTGAGAGACCCTACTCCTGGATGGTGTGTAGGTTACAGATGACACAGGGCAAAGTTACAAGACACTGTGGGTTAGGGGTTCTGGGTCTTCCTGGGAGCTGATTGGTCAGAGGTGAGGTAAGGGTAATTTCTTCAGGTCTTGAGGACAGCTCTGAGGTCTGCTCGACCTCTCTGTCTGGTGTCACCGGAAAGTAGCCAGGGGGGTCATTCTGCCTTGATGTTATCTTTACTCTGCCAGAGTTCCAGACCAAGTGACTATTAGTTAGGTCCAGTCTTCTTCTGCTCCCTCAGGTTGGTGATTATCATGGGTAAAAGCAAGGTATAGAGAAAATTATTTCTAAAGATATAACTGTTGCCCATGAAAGTGGAGCCCTTGTGGTGCCATGAGGAAAAGCATTTTTTGACCCCACAAGGGAGGGTGAGGTCTGGTGGTAAGATTTATTTGGGTGAAAATAGAAGACAGTCCCTGGATTTTCAGTGTCCTATCTGTGTCCATCCTGCCATGGAAAATCAGGGCCAGAGATAGGGCCAGTGTGCACAAAGATCCTGTGCCATATTAAAGCTCAGCCCATTCTAGCCTTTCTCACCATCTGGCTAGCTTAGTTTATGTTCCCGGCTGTAGTCTGACTGCAATCTGTTGCTTTGCTGCAGTATCCAAGCTCCCACCTGGGTCCTGTGTTTGGAGTCCATGTGGCATTTGGCCACGAGGCTGCTAAGGCCACATGCTATTGAGAGAACTGGAGAGAATGCATGGGTCAAGTGGTTATATCATGGGCTTGGGAAGGACCAGGAGCTTCTTCAAAATAATCAACTTATCAAGCTTTTGTAGGCTTAAGCTAGGGCCGCCTTCTAACAGGTACCCAGGGTAGACTGACAGGTCTCTGTGGTTGCCATTTTGACTCCTGTTGCACATGTACTTACCTCCACCTGCTCCCTAACAATCTGGTATCAGAGGTGGGAAGGGAAGAGTGTTAATCTTTGGCTGGGCAATGCTATGATCCCCTGGAGTGTGTGAAGCTGTAGCTTTCTGGTGAAACAATAATGTCTGATTCCCTTTGCTCTGTTCCTTATTAATATGTAGTTGTGTTACTGGACATACAGCCCCCTGAGTCAGAGTAGGGGGCTTTCCCCTCCTTGGTTCCTGACAGTCTTAGAAAGATTTCAGATGAGTGTCAGACAGCAGCGTTGAAGCAAAGCAAGCAAATTTATTAAAAATTCACTTGGTGTAAAGCACAAGTGGGCAACTCAGCTAGCCTGAGTATCCTGCCAGGTCGAGGTTCAAGGGCTTTTATACCCTTCACCCTGTAGGTTTCAATGTTCCCCCTCTACACTGTTGTGGCTTATCTCAGAATGTTTGTACATATATTTGATCATCTAGTTTGGCAGATCCTAAGGCGTCCGACTTCTTTGTTCAGTGGGTGAGATAAAACTTCCCCTTCTTTCCCCTTTCCATGTCCCAGCAGTTATCTTGCCTACCAAATATCCCCCAAGTGATATCATCCAAATGCTTTTGGTGTTTTATTGTTTGTCTCGAAGACATTATCTGCCCCTGGGTGTAGCTGGCATGACTGTCATTAATTGGGTCATTGTTCTCTATTTTCCCAGGTAAGGGTGATTTAAGCCATGTATTCTTTGGTTAGGGAGGAAGGTATTAACCATTTGCTCCCAAGTGTCCTTGTTTGGGGAAGATAAGGTCTTGTAATTCACAAGCTGGCTGCAAGCTGCCCAAACTGTTTGGCTTCATTTAATTATCTTGTCTCAGTTTCTGTGTACTACTTGTTCAGGGATTCTCCTAGCCACAATTTTTTTTTTTTAAATATGTCTTTATTGATTGAAGGGAGAGGGGGAGAGAGAGAGAAAGAGAGAGAGAAACATCAGTGATGAGAGAGTCATGCATCGGCTGCCTCCTGCCCTCCCCTTTCTGACAATCAAGCCCAAAACCTAGGGATGTGCCCTGACCAGGAATCAAATCTCAATCTCCTGGATCCTAGGTCAATGCTCAGCCGTTGAGCCGTCCAGCGGGGCTATCCTGCCACAATTAAACCTATGCTAACATAACCACAAATCAAATCATGAGGACCCTCAGTTTCATTTACAAGAGAAAAACAAACAAAAGTTTATTAACATGTCCATATCATTTATATATGGGAGATAGCCATGAAAATTGAGAAACTTTCTGAGATGGCCTAAGCAACCAGATTAAGCTCAGCTAAATAAGATGTTGGAGGGTGGGGCCAGCATATTATAAAAGTTAATTGGGAAAGGTACTTTAAACAAAGAGAGAGTGGAAGGGAGGGAGGGGGAAAGAGAGAGAAACATCAATGTGAGAGAGACATGCCAGGATCAAGCCTGCAATGAAGATATATGCCCTTGGCTGGAATCAAACCTAGGAACATTCAGTCCTTGGGCTGATGCTCTAACCACCAAGCCAAACAGGCTAGGGCAAGACACATATTTGTTTTACATTGGTGGGTATGTTGAGGGCATCTAGAATGGCACCAGGTGTTAGATCAATGGGGTCAAACTGCATCTGGGTTCAACAGCCTCTGTACTTGAATTCTGGCTAGGAACGAATTCAGAGTCAAGACTCAAACTATAAGAACATTTATTTGTAAAACCTAGAATACAAGGAATGATTTCTAGAAGAAATGGGTTTAGGAAATAAGCTATAAAGGCAAAGGAAGTGTCCTTGGAGCTTAGAAGTGAGGAAGGTAAAGGTGATACACCTAGGAGGAGGAAAGAGGAACGGAAAGGCACTAGCATGCTTCCTGAAGGGAGAGGGATCCTTCATCCTAATGGTTTTAAGGGTGGAGATTTTAGGGGAGGTCCCAGGGGATTTCAATAGAATATTCAGCAGCTTTCCAGGTGTGTCCTGGTCCCCACCGATTGATTGGTTGGTACCAGGATCATTATTCAGTGCAGGTCACGTGTGGCATTGTTTGGCTTATTTGGTTTTGTTGCTTTCTGGGCCTGAAGCTGAAATACAACTGAAGTCCAGATATTATCTCTAGGGAGAAAAAGTCAAGGAATCTACACCCTGTGACCAATGATATTATAGGGAGGAAAGGCCACCCTGGGAAAGAAGTTCTGCCCTACAATTGTCCGTTGCTAGACATTCAGAGCCTTCCATCTTGGTTAC